AATGTGGACATAAGAATCAATATGCATGGTGACTGTCAGTTTCATTATTTACAGATAGGACTCGCTATGCTACCGCTTACGGTTACATCACTTTGAAACACCGGTACCCGTACGATCACTGAAGGTAAGCAACGTTAAGACTGGTTAGTAGTTAAATGAGTGACCGCTCAGAGATAACAGTTGCTGTAAGCTTGGATGTGCGAGTGGTGTATTGGATAATGGCTGTGAATTTTCAGTCGGAGAGCTGAGTTTCAATTCTAGTTGGGTTCATTCTATTCACTTACGTTGAAATAACCATGGAAAACGGTTGAATTCACGTCTTCTTAATTAATAAAACGAATAACAATAAACCATTAATATCTACCCCGAAAAAATTCCTACACTCTAAAAAATGTTTTATAGCTTTAGATAAACTGCAAAGGGTCGATAATCCGTAAAGAACGAATCGATCAATCGCCATGCTACGTTCGTGGTGTATCTAATCATCTACATTTCCTCCATATTCCATTCGAAAGTTCCACTGAGACAACTTTTACCCCGAGAACTGCTGATCGGTAGAAGAAACTCCCGCGAGGATGCTTCCTTGAACACTGCAATCTTAACTTCTTCCAGTCAAGAATCAGTTGCTGTTCGCCCTTTTTCTCCTTATAATGTTTACTTCTTTCTACATCAATCTTACTCAGATGCAATAAGCGTCTACCACGAGTGGTGTTTGACAGTGTATTGGGTGAACGTTAGTATGGAAAAAAAATTGCGATAAAAAAAAGCATAAGTAAAAGAGAAAAAACATTGGCTATGAAGGTGTTACGAGCATCTCTTTCATTCCCGCACGCAGATACCAGAGATAATCCAATTAATTGAGCACAAATCCATAAGCTTCGGATTACTTACTGAAAAGACAATATATTTCGTCAACATTAAAATCAATACTTTTTTTTTCTGGAGAAATAATTTTCATAGTAAACGCAGCCTTTTTATTGATTTCTTTATGTCCGTCGTCAGGGTCCGATGTAAAGGCCAGAGTTCCTTCAGCTGAAAAAGCAAATCTACAAGGGAAAACATTTGCCGAGGCATGACCCTTATTACTAATCGTAGCAGAGGAGAAATGTATCGGTATTATCACAAATGCTAACATCGTCTAAAGAGATTTCATGTTGGCGCCGACATCGCCAGTGTCTGACGTTCACAGGAGAATGAAACAAAGCTGTATTGCTTAAACTATAATTGAATATACTGAAACCTTAATTCCAGACAAGATATTTTTTCTTATCGATTTTGAATATTTTTAAAATATAAATACTTACATTCATCACTTACATCTATCTATCTATATATATATATATATATATATATATATATATATATATATACAGACTTTATCTTACGCTTTGGAAAGGTATGAATTTACCTTTTCTCCCTATCTATGGGTCAATTAGCATGACTTGCATTTAAGAATTGTTAAAAAAAAAAAATATTAATACATTAAAAATATTTTGGGGTTTTATATAACATGCAATGGGTTGATAATCCGTAGAAAATTAATCAATCAATCACAAAACCAATGAGCAATGTAGATATTCTGCATCAAAATGAGGCATGAATCCGGTAGTCAATACACTGTATACGTATATATATATATATATATATATATATATATATATATATATATATATATAATGTTGAGTGGGGGATGAGGATTATTTCGAAGGTTAACATTCCAATCATAAAACCCGGGTTAAAATCTGACCATTGTCGATTTGTCAAATAGGTTATTTCTTTATCCTCTCGTTTTGGGGAGATGATCCTAGGGTGCGGTGCCTTTTGACGTGCTTGGGTTGTCTCAAACGTTCTACACGGGACTATTCGGAATCCCTTGATGCGTGTGCTAGCAGGATGGATGTCACAAGTCATCGTGGCCGAGGTTTTGAGCGTACCGAGCCTGTTCAAATTGGAGTTCTTGGGCTCTCTCCCAGTAACTGCGGCTTGGGTCCCGCCCAGCAGAGTTTCAGAAAAACACAATTTAGCTCTGTAGGTTTTGAACGACCACAAATCTGTCTGAGCTGGTGTCTACAAAAGTCATATTCGGAAAACAGCGATCAGCCATACTAAATATATATTGAAGGACGTTGTAGTATAAGATACCCCGACTCGGATTGAGGAATCGGAGAGCTGGGTTTATTTATTAACAGATCACGACAGCTATTATGGAGATATGATTAAATATACTTTAATGTTTTCAAAAAAATTATTCAGTATTTATATTGTTTAGATAATAAGCATCATAACACAGCACAATGAGCTATATTGTGGAAAAGGAATTTTCCACAATATACGCAGTTTTTACGTATTTATGTTTTTTTAAACTTTTATCAAAAACGACATTCTTGTACATGTAGTGATGAATAATATTATACATTAATTACTAATTTGTTTTAATTAATAACTATTTATGCTCAGTTGTTGCCATTAAGAGCTATCATCTAAGGTGTTTAAATTTTAGAATAATGCAATAAAAAAAATTTAAATTTCATCTCTCTGACAGATGTCACGATCTGTAAATAGTATATTTATTTATTTTCGTCTGCTGGCCTGAGTGCTTGAGAAAACTTATTAGAGAAAAATATACGCTCTCCTGAGTTCAAGATTATATATCCTCTACCTCATAGTCTCCAGGTGTATGCTCTTACACCTAAGCCATCGCAGAGTGAGATTGTCCAGTATTCAGTGAGTTGTATATTTTATCACTACTGTATATCCTTCACCTCACAGTCTCCAGGTGTATGCTCTTACACCTAAGCCATCGGAGACTGAGAATAGGAAAGTAAAACTCATTTTCAGTGCAAAATAATGCAAAGCGAATAAGTGTGTATGTGTTAGAAGTGAAGCTGAAAATAAAATGGATTCTTTAGAAATTGAATTTACGAATTTACGGTTTGCCTATTATCAAACGTCAGTAAAAGTCGACGCCTTCTCTTTGCAACAGACACGCTCCACACCTAACCTCCAAAAACACACCCTTCTCTGGAAAATATAATATAAAATAAACTAAAAAAAAATCTCAGCTGAAATAGGCAAAATCGATGACGTTCCAAGCCTATTTCGACCCATTTAATCACATTTTTAAAGGGGATTTTAACCTCGACGTCCTCTTAAGCCCTAAGGTGAAAATAACCTCTTCAACCCCCAAACTTTGCACTGGTTTTGTCTCAATGTGACTTCTGCCTACGTTACTTCTAATCAGACTTCAGCAATCGTCTGTCTGGGTCGTGACCTCTATTACAATATTTACTGGAAAAACGTTGTTCCAAGCGAATGTCTGTTTTATCAAGCAACTAAAGTGAATTGAACAGGAAAAGAAAAAAAATGGAGGCTTGTGTCTTTTCGCAAAATAATTATTTCCGTTTGTCTTAAATCGACTCTTGTGTCTAAATAACTGCTTGCTTTTCAATTGTAACGAACGCCGCCAAAGTAAAAGATTCGTCACCAAAAATGACAAAGGAAATTACGAGCGTTTGTTAAAGCCTCGCTTCTTCTGCAAGAGTTGATTTTGCTCACAATGGCGGATAAATCGGACTGGTGCATTTCGCAGCCTCTTCTTAAAACAGAATCAATGTATCGCCTTATCCTTTCTTTTTCGCCATTGCTTTTCGCCTTGGTATGACTACAACCATCCCTTTGCTCTGAAAGTATTCCTGATAATCTTGTGATAAGAAAACCGCCACGACTTAAATGTAACGAGAACGCTTTTACTTTTGAGCGTGTTTCGAAATCGCAATTCATTCCACTTCAGTTGTAGATCGTGACCTGTGGCAAACTTGTTCTCTGAGAGTCGCTCTTGTAGCTGAGGGAAAAAACATTAACTTCAAAAATTGTCAAAGATTGATTCTTGCTTAAGCTGTTATTTACTCAGCTTTGAATAATATTTTTAAGAAAAACAAATACAAGGAGAGAATAATGAAAAGATCGTTTATCACCAACGTTCTGAAGAAAAAAAAACCTCCAGGATATTGGCACATTTCGCCTTCTCGGGCTAACGTTCTTGGCTGATATGATGTTGAAAGACTATATTGAATCCATTGCTAGCTCAGCTGCTAAGAAAGTCTATTCACTGTGTCGTGCGTGACATTTTTCTCTCCAGTATCTATCCTACATATCGATAAGTCTACCATTTGTTCATGCTTAGAATATTGCTGCTACATATGGTCCGTTTCTCCTGCTATTTATCTAGAGTTCTTTGATGAAATCCAAAGAAGAATCAGTAATATTATTGGTCCTGATCTGGCGTCTCGGCTTTAGACAGTTTCCCACCGCCGTAATTGTTCAGATGAGCTCTCCGCTATGGTTCATATAGGGACTAGTTAGTAATTTAATAGAGACATTGTGGTATTATGGTGGATGTTGTAAGAATGGTAAGAAAGAATGCGTTGTTTGGGTGTAAGGAATATTGTGGTATGTTTAGGTCAGTGATCGTGGCTAGCTAAGCTTAATATTAAGACAGAAGACCGTCCTTCCCCACCCCCATTCCCCATTTTGGCCTTGTGTCACATTCCTGTACATAATGCGGAATAAATATCGCTCTTCGCTATGGTACCTAAACGCTTTCAGTTTAAACGCAGTACTATACTGGCGATGAGGTCTCACCAATTTACAGATGGGTTGGCCAGATGTAACCGTAAATTATATGCTAACATGTTTTTCGCACTTCCGGCTCTATGCTTTCCAGTTAAATTTAATATTCAAATATTTGAATATAATGTCCATTGCTATCTATTGTCCTCCTGGTTACTCTTTTTGTTCTCGCTCATTAATGACGTTTCTGTTTCTAATTCTTCCGCACTCAGTAACACTTTGTGACTTAGTGGCTTATTTTCCTTGCTTGGGGTGAATCTGATACAAAAAATATAAAAAAAAACTGTTTGCTTTGAAAATCATCATTCGAATTAAGCTCTTTGCAATATTGACTGAAGGGGCAATAAAGATCTGAATTTTCCATAACGACATATGGCTATATCACGTTGAAACACCGGTTCATGCAGGATCTCCGAAGTTAAGCAACGTAGTGTCTGGTCAGTACCTAGATGGGTGGCCGCTTGAGAATACCAGGTGCTGCAATTTTAAATATGCGTGTGGTATAATAAATAACAACACCTAATAAGAAATCGAAGAGCCGCGTTCCTATTCTACTCGGGTTCTTTAGACTCCCTTGCGCATAAATACGCTCTTCTACACCCCAGCTATGGGTTAATTAGCAGGGCTTGTATCTGTAAATCATTATGATTTCCCAAAAAGTCTTACAGACTAATAATATTTTGCGGCTTAAATAAGCTGCAAAAGGTTGATAAGCCGTAAAAACAAAACAATCGAATTTTTCCTAAATTTATTTTATTTTTGTATTTATTCTTTGGCTTTTTCTTCACATTCTACTAGAGGCTAAAAAGTAAATCTTCGTAACTCAATAATCTTTGAAGAAACGAACAAATAAAACTAAAACCTTATAAATAGAGGAACTGTCGGCTTTGAAAATCAGCATTCGAATTAAACTCCTTCTAATACAGATCGAACTTAAAATAAAATGATATTTTTCATAACTTTATTTATTAATTTCTTCTATTTTTTTTTTTTTTTTTTTTTTTTTTTGGCGGGGGAGGTCTTCATTCCATATAAGGGTAAAAAAATGTCTGGATAATACATTAAACTCCGAAGACACGAACAAATAATACGATAAATCGAAACAGACCGTCAAATGAAATCAAAACTTCGCAAATATGTCCGTCATCAAATCAATTCGTTATGGCTGATAAGGGTGTAAAATGATTTTAAGCAAGTTAACATTCCATCCGATTCACAGAGAATTCGATTTCCACTGGTTCCACCAATATTGATGAGGTTTCACCTGATTACGCAAAGCTTGTCAATAAAAGAGAGTTTGCCAAAATCAAGGTTTTCGATTCTTTATATCTTAAAAAAAAAATTAGGAAATGTCTATTCTATAAAGGTTGGAAAGAAATATATAATACCAGTTTTTACTTACATGATTAAATGCGAACAGTTGTCTTTATCTTTGAAATTATCACAACGTTTCGGCCGTTGTACTCTCCGACCTTCATCAGGGTATTTCGCTTCTGTAAATGTTGGAAAGAAACATGTGATATAATACCTGTTGTTATTTACAAGATTAAATGTGAACAGTTGTCTTTATCTTTGAAATTATCACAACGTTTCGGCCGTTGTACTCTCCGGCCTTCATCAAGGTATTTTGCTTTTGTAGATGTTGGAAAGAAACATGTGATATAATACCTGTTGTTATTTACAATATTAAATGCGAACAGTTGTCCTGATCTTTGAAGTTATCCCAACATTTCGACCGTTGTACTCTCCGACCTTCATCAGGGTATTTAGCTTCTGTAAATGTTGGAAAGAAACATGTGATATAATACCTGTTGTTATTTACAAGATTAAATGCGAACTATTGTCCTCATCTTTGAAGTTATTATCCCAACGTTTCGACTTTCATCAGGGTATTTCGAACTGAACCCTTATACGGGGGTAAACTGGTCTTCTTCCGCCAATTGTATCTTACTGGGTTAAATTCCACTAGAAATAATAAAATCCCGCTATTTATCATTTAATAGAATATTAACTTTCTATAAATAAAACTGTAATATGGATAATTAGCGATATTTTGACTTATAACTGAAATTTAAAATAGATATATATAATATAGAAATATCTACTTCTTTCCAGGCACAAATATGCATGTTATTTTGTCGATCATCATTTATATATCATGTCTCCTCAGAACGTATACGATCATGGCGCTCCATAACTTCCTATACTTAATAGCTCTAAGCATCCTTTGTCCACTTACTACCTTTCCCAGTTCCTGTTCAGTTAGCCATTTACACAAACCCGTTAAGCCCTTTACTTGTTTCCCTACAAGTTTCTTGCCTTCAATTTTCCCTGTGAGTGCCAAATTCTCCAAGCCATACTTCCTTATCATGTATTTCAGATATTTGAAATGTCTCTTTCTGATTCTAAGTACACTTTTACTTGAAACTTCCTCGTTCCTCACGTGTTTCGTGTATGACAGTCTCAGCATCCGTGTGCAGAACTACATCTCCGTTTTCTCAAGTCTTCTTTCATCAGTGCTGAAATTGCCCATCATTCACTGCCATATATAAGATGACCGATATTCAATGAAAATTTAGCACTCTTTTATTTGCTTCTACCGAATTTTTCCTTTTTCTTAATAATATAATTTGGGAGGGGTATCATTTGCTCTTCCAGTGCACCTTTGGATCTTTGTGACAAATTTTCCGTCGTCTATTAAGACACCTCCCAGATACTTACATTTCTGTACTTGCTTGATTTTGACGTTTTCACTTTTTGGGTTGATAACTACATATTATGTTATCTTTATGGCTAATGTTGTTACACTATTTAGCTATGGTAATTGGCTAACTAATTAACCATAGAAATTAAAACAGAAAATAATTAAGGTGAAAAAGAGATATCCCGAAAGATATCCCGATCGATGTTAAAAAAAGATTTGATTTTATTTACGAAAAAGATACTTTTCACAAAAGACAGTAAACCCATGGAAAAAGCCATATGTGAGGTTTTGTCAGGTTGATTAATGTCTTGCCGAGGGACATAGGAAGAAAGGCAAATATTAAGGTATCGGCCAGACCATGGCGGTCATAAAAATTTCGGCTTGAGACGATCGTCGATACAGGCAGGGAGAATCAATGTTAATTATCGTTCCAAAATATCGTTTTTTTTTTTCATGGCCACTAGCGAGGAAAAGCAATGTGGCAATTATAAAATTTTAACATTGTCTCGGCATCGGTGAGAGGATTGTTATTATTTACCTTATCAACGTGTCGCTTCAGACGCTGAAACGTTGAATAGCAATATGTCGTTTGTAAAATTTTGGCATGAGACAGAAAATAAAGTGGAGAATTGAGATTTGGTGAGATAAAAAATTTAATTTCTCAACAACCCAAGGATTCCATTACAAAGCTAACTTCACGAAGGGACCAGATGGCAAACTTTGACAGTGATTGGTGGAGTCGGTAGAGAGTGTCGGCTAAATGAATTCTGGGTGGCCAAAAGATATGATAGAAATTTAATTGGCAATATGGAAATCGTAAAGATTTTGGCCGATGGGAAAAAGGAGAATTTTATAAACAAAAACTCTAGATTATAATTTTAAGGAGGCCAGCTTAGCCACACCCACACGGCCGGGATGCCATTGTTCGAGAGGTAGCAATGGAGATAGGCGGAGGTGAATGGATGAGAAAGACGGAGAAGTTTTTAACGCCCACTGAAGGGATTGGTATGAGATATTAATGTGAGAGAGAAAGAGTCTAAGAGCATAGCTCTCCTCCGACCTTCCCTCATGGACGACGGATACCCTCTCTGAAATGAAAAGTGATTAATTTTCCAAAAATGGGAAGTAATCAAATTTCCTTGCCTGACAACAAAGAGATTTCTTGTTAGAAATCGAGATTTACCGAGAGCCCCAGGCGGTGTCTGGCCCCACACCGGGTTTTGATCGGTACCCATATAAACGAACGTCGTCGTGTCTTTCAGCGAGTTCTGAGTTGGTTGCAGTTGAGCTGGTTTTGGGGTTAGAGTCAGAGCTTAACCAGAGTGTTGCCTCGCAGAAGTTGACCGAGAGATTCCACGATCTCCGACTTCACCTATCCTACCAAGTTATACTGACGAACGAAGCCAAGCCAACACCTAAGAACTAAATCTGTTGATTTAAGACACGAACTTTCTTGAAACATAGAAGTGTCACATTTCGTAGAAAACAGGCTCGGAGAAAAACACACTCCTGTATATAATAGAAGTTTAAAGTTAATGTGTTATTTCTTAACATACTTGAACCTCTTGGGTTTTTCTTTTATTTATTTTTTTCCTTTGCGCTTGTGCGATACCACCTTCAGTCCGGACTCAGCCTACATTACGGCCCGATGCCTGATTGATCTCACCTACCTAAGATCAAAGTCACAACGTGGGTAGGTTAGACTTGAGATCGAAGTAGTTACTCCGGTAACCAGACGTTGGAAGTGAACTGGGAACTACAGAGCCGGTATCAAACCGGTACAGCTGGTGTGAAGCCGTTAACATCGACGACTAGAATTCGACCCTGGATGGGCCAGTGTCACATATTGGTATGCTGACAAATGGATTCCGCCGAATAATGACGACCACCGATCGACCGGGACACAGGCTGGTGGCAGCGACTAAGAGTCAAGCCCAAAACGTCGGTGGAAGAAACATTACTGCTTCGCGCCGCGACTGGGAGTTGACCACGGGCCAACGGCTGGGTGTCAGAATGCTTTCTTCTAGTTTTCATTTACTTCATTATCTAAGGTTTCCTGCAATTTTATTATTTTTTTTAATTTATTCTCTATCATCAATGCGGTCTCATCAGCCTATCTTCCTGGTAGGACTTCTAGTTCTCTGAGAATCATCTCGCTGTAAAAGTTAAACAACACCAATGAAAATACGCATCTTTATCTCATGACCCTTTCTATTTTAATGTACTTACTAAATTCATTTTCTCTTCGTATAAAGGCGGTTTGTTCCTAGGAAATAATCTGGATTATTCTAATATCTTTCCCAAATAAAATTTTCCTAGCATTTCAAATAGATCTTTGTTTCGTAACTTATTGCTGTACAGTATCTAGAACCCCTTCATCACTCTACCAGATGGCCTAGCTCATAGCCTTAAATAATCTACGATTAATGGCTTCAACAGTTGATTAATAAGTTGATTAGTAAATTGATACTAAGCTGATCAACATTCGGACTGATCTTCGTTTCACTATACAGCATTTGACCCTCATCTATGCCTTGTAAGTTGTTTTGTTAATTGTTTTGTGTTTTTTGTATGTATCCGTTAGCACCGGAAACTCGTGCTGAATAAATATATTAAGCAATCATTCTTCTTTTTGTATCATTAACTTCGACGATACAACACTTATCAAATGATTTTACCGAACAAGATGTTTCCAAATACACTGATTAAAGTACATGTTAACAATACTAAGTTTTAAATTTGTTTATTTTCTTGCATTTAGTTTGTTTTTCTTTTAAAGT